ACTGAGTTATTCTACCTATTAAATCGCGTCTTCGGTAGACATATCTCACTGCTGTATGAAACATGATAACACGATTAAAATGTTCCCATCACTGAACGCGTTCATGTCCTCCACGAGGCGGTTGATGCAAGTAGGTCGTAATCTGATAGGCTGAAGTTTGAAAGATGTTATTTAACTTCCACATCACGCAGATGGAAGGTCAATTCAGAACTAATATAATGGAGTATTTTGCCACCGGAATCCGCGGAGTTCCTTACACAAAACCTGCACTAGAAAACGGTGTTCAGTTTCAAATCACCCGCACTAAGTAATGCAAGGATACAACGCGTAGGGTAAAACATGGTGGTGCTTAGGACGCATTGTCCAATCATAGGACGCAATTGGACGTAATCTGCATATGCATGAATCAAACTGTGACCTAATTTCACCCAATGCATAATCTGGGTCACTAGTCTCACGTTTTACTACGATAGTAAGTCCAACGTTTATCGCATAACAATCACCGATGGGATGACAGTGAACGTTCTATTTAAAATGATTCTTTTAGAATAATATGCTTATAAATAATTTAATAAGATAAAACAGACGCTTTGTTAAAAAGATTTTATTATAAAATAAAAATATGGTATTAAAGGGACCAAAACAATGGGGCAATAATTCTATGTAATAATTCTATACTGAAGTTTTACTCTAACATTTTCATGCTAAATTCATTTAATATTTATAAGTAAACCACATATAAGATTCAATTAGGACAAACATATGTGTACGTACTTGGGAGTTTATCTTAACATGGACCTAATGAGAGAAGGACGAGTAACGCGGCATCTTCCTTTGAAGCTATGTGCGTTCGGGTAAACATTCGCCCATTGTCTCAGATAAGCTGTTTTGATAGCTCCACGGGAGCCTGAACAACTTATTATCAAGGTAGCGCGCGCTGTGCCTCATTGAAATCCTTTTGTTCTATTGCATGGATAACGCAATTTCTCGCGGTCCCTCGTGGTTGCTATGACACAGCATTGCCTCCATCTTGTAATTGCTAGCACATAGACTTGCGTCAACAAGTGGAAATTTGTTTCGGGTTTTCAGTTTCTTTTTCCTGTTACCTAATTAAAACGGGCTCTGGCCTTTGTCTATACTTGTTATCGTTTCCAAGATTGTATTGATATATGTCGAACTGATATATAACTGGTTTAAAAGCATGTTGACTAATAAAGCCAGGTAGGTGCTATCCAAACGTATCTGATAACAAGATAATGCAATGTTGCAAGCCAATTACAGAGGTGAGTTGTGATCAAGATCCACTTTTATGACCATTACCCAAGTAAATATATTCACGAAGTTTGCATGTGTACATGTCCACATTTATACTTGAATTAAAAGACCAATGAGGGTGTTTGTCAATCGTCTTTATGCTGTACAGGGACTCCAATTTAAAGATGAAAAACTATAAATTTTCATTCTCAAAGTGGAGCAGACTGTAGCCGGTAATGTGTAAATATATATATACTTCAGAGCAGTGTTAATGTCAACTTTGATAAAAGAATATTAAAAGGCCCACAAGTGCGTTTTTGTGCGTAACGAATGCGTTTGTGGTGCCATATTGCAACGAGAGCCCATATTGAAAGTTAAAAAAATAATAATTATCATTCTCAGACTGGAGCAGACCGTAGCCGGTAATGTGTAAATATATATATACTTCAGAGCAGTATTAATGTCAACTTTGATAAAAAAATATTAAAAGACCCACAGGTGCGTTTTTGTGGGTCACGAATGCGTGTGTGGTGCCCTATTGCAACGAGAGCCCATATTGAATGTTAAAAATATTAATTATCATTACATAATTCGGGCTCACTTAAGCAAGTAACATAAACCTATTCATATAGCACACATCAGTGTAAATGCCACCTTTATCTAACTCGTACGTAAAAAATACCAGACCTAAAACGATGTCAGCGAGTTGAATAAATCGGAGAGGAATTGCGTTATTTTAATTCAAGACACGATTGAAGGTTTCATTATTGCCGCGTCTCAGGCTAATTAATCACATAGAGAGAAAAGTTTGACACTGAAAATATTTTCCAATCGGATCATAGTTGAAAACAAGCATACTACACTACAGTTGTACAATTTTGAATGCTCATTTTACGACAACAAACAAGATTGCCTTTACCACATAGGGCGTTTTGAATTCCTCCATGGATAAACATATCAAATTCTCACATAGTATCCAAATTGACAGAACAAATTGTACTTATACTTCATCTCTATAATTTTATTGTCTCATCCACCCGAAAGATTGACTCACGTTATCGCGAACTACCTGCCCAAATGACACAAAAAGTCATCGACAACTGCGATATGCTCGCTACCTGTACGGGAGGTCGCGTGATCCGAACGCACATGGTTTCGCGAAGAGCTCACGTTAAGCCGATTATCCTTTGATCTTGCTCCGCGTTACTCGTCCTTCTCTCATTAGGTCCATGATCTTAATGATACATGTTCATATACAGAAAAGAGAATATATTACAAGTACTGGGAGTTCCATTCGTATTTAAATCTCATTGTAAAATTAAGTCACAGCAAAATACCTTAATTATTCTAATCATCATACATGCTGATGTTGATTTTTTATAAGTATGTTAAATTCAGGACTATCTCTTGTAATCGCTGAGTCTTGGTATTTGTCTTTTATTAGCAAAGATAACTAGAAGATCAGAGAGGCGATACGCGGATTACGGTGGCAAAATACTCTTTTATATAAGTTATGAATTGATCCGCGTGATGTGGGAGTTAAACAACATATCTCAGGCTTCAGATTACGGCCTAAAGCTCTACAGGACAGATGCAAAATGGCGGAAAACGGCATCTCAGATCACAAGGGAAAAATGATTGAGGAAAACGACATCTAAGGCCAAGCGTGAAAAAAAAGATTAAAACTGAACTAGAGGTCAGAGAGTTAAAGATCATAAAATCCCCCTTTCAATGCAATCTTCACCAGAATAAGTAAAACCTGCATCTTTAATATCGTTTTAGAACTAGTTGTAAGTGAGAACTTGAGTAAATTACAACCTATTATCCCTTTTCAATTAAGTTCTGTATTTATAGTCTTTACCGCTGAGAGTGAAATTGGCCGATCTGTGTCTTTCACTATGAGACTTTACGCTGATTTATTGTGATCATTATATTTCGGCAAAAACTACAAGAAACTGGACTGTAGGGGGGGGGGGGGTAGTTTGCAGGTACCCACCAATAGTATTATAGTAAAAAAAATATTGGAGAGGGGTGGGGGTCCTTAGATACTGGTTACCTTTTCCTTTGTCCAAGTTCATCAGAAATCGCTCACATTTGTCTTCACCAGTCAGAATCTAGCTCAGTATCACTGGCTGTTCAATAACGTGCTTCCATATTGTGCAATCCTTCAACACCCCCATATAATAATTATTTTTCTCAACATACGACACTGACACGTAATTCAGCAATTAATTAACTCTACTGAAACAATTTTATTTTTCACTGAAAAAGAGCGTCCAGCACTGCTTAGCCGAATTAGAAAATCATCATCTCTATACTTTGTTAAAAAATTCCGCTAACTTGAAACCCATCTTTTCGCAAATTACCTTAGAAATAATTTATATCTGAGGTTCACCTTATAATTCTATCATCTGTCATTAATAATACCAGTGTCGCAGCCCATGCTGAGTTGTAGGCTACATCATAATCTAGGGAGCGCCCCCTAGGGGGTAGACCTCTGCTAGGGAAATGTAATTACTGCCGGGGAGAGAAGATATTATTGACAGACTCAGAGGCAGAATGTATTACCGACAATGTTCTACCAAAATGTCCTCTGAAAAATGTGCTCTTAGATGGCAATACATTGTTAGCTGTATTGGATTGTAATTGTGATGATAGAGAAGAGTTATCTAAAATACTGCTGGATTTTTAAATTCAATTAAAATTGCAAATAAAACTAAGGATATAGCACGACGGTTTTAGTTAAAGGTAATTAAAGTCCAAGAGTCCAATGTACCATAAATAAATGTATGTGGGTATGTATGTACCATAAAAGTATATGAGACGAATGTCACCTGTACAAAGTAATGGGGAACGGACTACGGTTCCCAGCGGACTACCATTACTATTACACCGGGTGATTTTTATACTTTTATATGAATATTCACATGTCATGTAAATAAATAAATATTTTTTTATTTCATCACATTACAGGGTTTCACATTCTTTGGGATACAAATGTACAAAGCACTCACAAATATGGCATTATATGGTTAAGATTTGCACAAATGTCATTGGAATATAGTTGCTATAACAATCAGCATACAGCAATGATAATTATTATTATATTCATAAAATCAATCATTATCATTTTTAATAGAAAGAAAGATATTATACTCCAGAACTTTTAAAAATTCGAAATTTCCCGCTCTTTGCTATCCGTGATGGCAGGCATGGAATAGTTTTTGCCATCTTTGCGGTAATCAATGTCTACATTTATCTAAGGTGACCTACTCTGTATTACCTAGAAAGATACAAAAGGATGGTGATGATTACGATCTTGGGAAGATTTATTTCCCTTACGGAGCCCGGAAATGTGTCATAATGGCATCAATCCAATCCGCCATCTGTGATGGCCCAGCAGATGGTGGGTCGATTTAGTATTTCTTATGATCTTTTTATGATTTGACTTTTGAGATTAGAATATTCCGATGATGATGATTGCGACAGGAATAGTGTGTGCGTGTGTTTGTGCATGCATGTGTGTGTGCGCGAGTGTGTGTGTGAGAGGTGATGGTGAGAGGAGAGGAGAGAGAAGACTCACGTATTTGAGTACAGGGCAATTAAAAATAAATTACGAGTAACGGAATGTATCTATATCTCACCCTCCCCTTCTTATTTATTTATTTATTTATTTTATTCATTTATTTTGACGTTGATGACACTAAGGCTGCCCTCTCAGAAGGTCGCATGCCGCAGAACGGGAATCTATCCTACAACTAATCCATTCGCTGGAATCAAAAATCATTCTTGTGTGATTAATTGATCGCGGTTAACACGTTCACCTGTGTGGCTTAAACAAACGCTGTGCATGAATATATATTATTACGGTCGACATTTAACTGCTTCTTGCACGAGATTCTACCAGCACAGAAGTATGAAGATTTGGTTTGTTGATCACCCAGTTCTTCTCGCGCTGTAAAATCTCCTCGGGTCCAATAACAAGGTAAGAAAAACGCCATGATTGCAGCAGAGCAGGGACATCGCTGGTAGACCGTACGTGAAACTGTGAAGTCTCGTTCACGTTTGTGCATGTGTTGGTGTTAATGATCATTTCTGCCAGTTGAAACTGTGTACACATATTCCACCCTGTTTATGTTGTATTTGGTCACTGCAAATAGTTCAAACATTGATAATTTCCTCACTCTGCGTACAAACCTATCACATACTGGTTGTTAATTATTTTATAACTGACCAGCGGTCACTGTCTTAAGTAGAACGCTATATGAAGTCAACAGGTGAAAGAGGACAGGAGTTTAAAAGTATATGCGAGTTTTTCTGCACAATTTGTGGATTCTTTTCTCTTAGAAGTCCAGCGTTTTGGGATAAGTTTAGCCGTGGTCATGAGCTAATCCCCACTGACGCTATCGGTCTACGTAAATGGATCCAACTCCGCGGAGACTCTTGCTGAATGCAGTCAGAATTGCAGACTACGGCTCCCCCTGGTGTTGAGCATAATACTGAAAAGCTATTGATCATACTGTACATGTAGGAGCATGTTGGGTCGATATACATAAACTGATTGTTTCAATGGTAATGAGCCCTTACACGTTCACCTGTCAAGCACTGGTAAATAATGGCTATAAAACATCTGCATCATGTTTTTTAAGTCTGTATTTTTAACTCTGTATTGGAAGTAATTTGCTACAATATGTTCTCAGGTTATGTTTCTACGGGTCAGAGTTGAGCAATACTCCACCTGTAAAAAGACGTCGTGATATTATACCGCCTAATTTACGTCATCGGCTCCCCTTACCTACAGGTGTAAGGGCACGATACCATTGAAACTATCGTTCTACGTCGATTGATCCAACTCCCTGGGTACTTTTGCTGATTGCAATCAGTTTAACTGAATGACACGCCTCCTCGAGCAGCTAAGGGATGATAGACTTTCTTGGGTGGTCAGCTTCTGAAAGTTTTATGCTTCGTTTAGAGTGCGCCCCCTTTTAGTCCCGACCATCTTGTTTAATCACTAGCTTTTGGGGAGATCTTTTCATCTGATTCAGCGAAAGTCTCTCAGAGTGGGATCAATTAACGTTGAATAATCGTTTAATTGTTAATGGGCTCTTAGACTGGGTTCCAATACCTTGTTCGATCTAACTGCTAGGGGGTAATCAATTATCGATTAACAGCTTCAGTGGGCGTGAGGGACATCTAAGCCGCTTTAGCTGAAAGCAATTTAGCGATACACTCCTTGGTGATGGATCGATCCTGTTAGATCGATCTAGGTATGGGAACCCAGTCTAAGTCCCTGAGACCGCATTCACATCGAGTTGACATCCTGCAACAGTTTGTGAGTTTTTTATTTCTTATTGTTGTCCAACCTGAAAGGCAAGTAAAAGTACAAATGTGGTCACTTTTTCTTTTCCAAGTTTACAACCTATGTATTTCATTTTCACGACCCGCGTCATCCAGATAAAACACGGCAACTGCATGAGTGTCATGGCGTCCTATATCCTTCCCTTCTTGCCTGTTCTTCACGACATTTAGAGACCATTTCCACTGATATTTGGATCGATCTATCTCCCTGGGGAGTCTCACTAAGTTGCTATGAACTTATCCGGCTTAAATGTCTGTCACGCCTATTAAAGCTGTTAGAGGGTAATTATCTTTACCCCCTAGCTGATTCGGTAGGTGTGACAGACATTTAAGTCGATTAAGTTGATAGCAATTTAGTGAGACTCTTCAGGGAGTTGGACCGATCCAGAGGGATCGATCTAGGCATGGGAACCCATTCTTAGATGCCTTAAGCATGCTTTGGGTCGACACTCAGGTCCCTATGTCATGCAGGCGCTTGATGACGTCAGCGGGCCTAGTTTCCGTTTAAGAAAGCGCAGTTAAAATTAGTTTTACACGTTAAGCAAATGATTAAGAGTGCCTCTAAATCATTGTATTCACAGGGGATTCTTAATTGGGATATACCAGTATTTTCCACATTTGTTGTTCAGCAGGTTTAGCATGGTGACGGCTCTGTAATTTTCAGGAAGCGATACATCTCCAGCGAGTGGTGACTTAAAGCAAACGGTGAGCACGATATCTTTATATAACATATTTATTTCCATGAAATTTCAACACGTTCACCCTTTATCGCCAAAGTTCACTATATCCAAAACTGTTCATAGTATAGGGGATTAAGGACAAGTACTCCAGGAAAATTCTCTCTGCTTTTGAATTATCTATGTGAGGTATTTACGTATTTCTTGAAACTTTTGCTGAATATAAGAAAGAATACAGAAAATTGGCCTTCACATTACAAGATTCAGGAAGCTTACTTATGTGAGGTGATCTTAATAAATGCCATTGAAACAAATTTTGCAAATTTGCCCTTACATACCATTTTTAATCAGGCAAATGCTATCATTTTTTCTTTTTCAATTTTTCTAAACATAAACATATGTCTCTTTTTTCTGCATTCCATTTTATGTAAGTGAGTTTTGTGCATATCAGTTTAAGTAAATGAAAATTATGAAATCGCAAAAGCAAACTTACGAAAAAGCAAACTAGATTCGAAAGTTGTTGCTTATTTATATCAGTAGGTAGTGGTTGACCATTCAAAAGTGATAGCCAGTTCACCAAAGGGATGCCCGGATGTATTAGACTTGGACCCCATTTCCATAGATTTTAGATCGATCTATTCCTGTGGGGAGTCTCACAAGATTACTGTCAGCTTAGCCGGCTTAAGCGTCTGTCCCGCCTACTGAAAGCTGTAAGGGGGTAATTAACTATGGTGCGCGCTCGGCTGACTGCAATTTAGCGTGAACCCCCAGGGAGTTAGGTCAATCTAAATCTTAATCTCTGGATCGATCTAAATCTCTGGGAATACACCCTTGCTGTAATCACACCTCGCCCTGCATGAGTTGTCAAATATCACTCAGTAACAGAGCCAAAGGCACTGTAGGTAGAGACTATTTAAGGTAGAGCTTCTTGTCTCAGATGGACATATTTTCAAGATGAACAGCACGATATTGTATGTACTACACGTTTTGTGAGTTTGCAGCAAATTGGCAATAACGGTTTTTGTGAGTTTGCCGGAAAATCTGGAACTCAGTCTGCCGTGGGTTCCTCGTTATCGTGCTTATTAAGTGTGCGTGAAGTTTGTAGGAAATATGTTGAGAGTTAATAAAATACTTTATACGTTTGCATGGTAAATTTCCCCTTGCAGATAAGATGCAAATTTACAGCAACAGTTTTCAGCAAATCCTACAGAACACCAATATTAATGATTCTTCATCTTCTTTGAAAATATTGTTTATCAGCAATGGATAGGATATGACCTTCGTAGAGTTTTTGTTCGAAATGTGACAAACATTCTGCAGATATAATAACAATTAACTTATGTAAATTAATTAGTTTTTATTTTTTAATTGTTTATTTGTTAAAGCAAATGAAGAGGGTGATTGTGATTTTAATTTTTCTTGAAAACGTTAGGAAACACTGAGAAATTCTGATATTGAGTATTATGTCCGTTTTCATATTACCCCGTTAATACGTACACCTTGATTCCCCGTAAAATTGAACATTCCCCGTCATTTCAAATTTAAAGGGATAATAACTCTTTGTTTTGGCCAAAAAATGAATTTTCCTGGAGTAAACAATATTTTCCCATACTTACCAATGGTTAATGAATCCATTTTTACATTCAAAGTTAGTCCCTGTTTTTTTTTTCTTAAAAGTTTGGCTTTTGTTAAAATCTCTTAAGAGATTATAACAGAGTGTACCCATCCATGGAGGTCACGTGGTCTGAAGACAAGCTCAGATCAGAATAATAGCTGTAACCGCTGTTTTCGTCGTAAAACAGAATATATTACATTTCTAGGAGTTATTCACAATGTTTTTATTGTGAAATATAGACCTCATACGAAGAGTTATTATCCCTTTAAATGGCCAAAAAATTAACCTGACTCTCACCGCCCCGAGCAGAAGACCCGAGACAATACCCAAAAATAAATAAATAAATAAATAAATAAGAAGTGACATACATGTAATTCATAAGATTCCAGTTATATTTTATTATATTTTTCACCAAAATGACGAGATTGACAGAATACTTGAGTGTTAACCTTTTTTCAAACAGAATTAATACAGAGATACTCAATTTGCACCTCTGGTCTTTCCCGCACTCTTTATGTGACGTCAAAGGCTCGGTTACCGTCAAAACAGAGAATTGTTCAAAATAAGCTTAGCAATAGCCGCGCGTTTCATAAAGAACATCTCTCAGAACAGATTATCGATTCCTAATTCGCTATCAGCAAACTATGATTTGTCGTCTCGGTCGAGTAATTGGAACACCTGCAAACTGAACACATTTTGTCAGCCTCTGTCCATCAATTAATGCATAGAATCGAGTTAGCGGCAGGAAATGGTCAAGAAATCCACCGATACATCTTAATTTTTTTCCTGAGGTCGACAACAAAGCAGTGCACTCTGAACCAAACCAGGAACTCAAGAGCCAAGTCAGAATGAATGACGTTACCAAGGCATGAATTAAATATCTTGATATCGCTTCACCGTCATTATTTTTCCGTCTAAATTCAAAGATTCTGTCGTGGTGAGAGAGCTGGAGATTTGGTTTACATCGTTCAGTCCTTCGTTCAGCGGTTTGGTTGACAAACGTCCATGTCGTGCTGCGCTGTATATTAGAGAGGCACCTGTCGTAACGCCCACTGCTGCGACGCCGAAAATAAAGGCCTCGAGACGTCCTGGGTGAGTAATGTGGGAGAGGGGGGCGGAGGGGATGGCGTGAAATTCGGAACAATACATAGGTTTAGCAAACAACAAAGTAGGATGAAAAAGGCTTTGTTCATACTTCGAACAGTATGTAGTGCGATTTCACTAACTAACCGAAGTATGATTACGAAAACACCAAAGGTTCCATTTTGTTATTTCAGCAGACGACATGGCGGGGGGAGCGGGGGAGGGGGGGAGGGCATGGATGATAAATCGCGA